TTAAGGTGGTTTTATTGTTTTTTGTCACTTTGAATAATATTTCTGTTCATGTTAAAAACAAAATCAACTCTCTGTATAAATATATCAGGTGACCGTTAAGGCCCATGGGCCTCTTGTTGATTTTTGGAAGGCCTGTCTCTCTCAAATCTGTCGTTCTTGTCTCTGTGTCGATTGTCTTTGTGCCTATATGTCTGTGTGTCTGTCTTTGTATGTCTGTCTATCTGGCAGTTCTTGCCTGTGTGCCTCTGTGCACATGTCTACTTTTGTTTTGTCTGTCTTTGTTTTTCCAGTAATTATCTGTCTGTCTCTATTTCTTTCTTTCAATAAAACCACAACACATGACTAATAAAATTAGTTTTTATTCCAATGTTTTGAAATGACATCTTGGATAGATTGATAGCATATGCCCTAATAAATATATACTATCATACAAAGGTAGTTGCTTGTGTATAATATATTGAATGATAGTGGGAGAACTATTCATATACATTTTTTTAAATGTACATCATGTATAGAGATGGAATATTTTGTACAGAACTGGTGTATATGAAATGTTAAATTATGAATGTTCTATACAGATGTATGGTGTATATGAAATGTTTAATAAGAATGTTTCAATACATATGTATGGTGTGTATGAAATGTTTGATATGAATGTTTCTATACAGATGTATGAAATATTTAAGATAAGTGTTCCATACTGATATGAAATGTTTAATAAGAATGTTTCAATACATATGTATGTGTTTAATATGAATGTTACATACAGTTGTATGGTGTGAATGAAATGTTTAATATAAGTGTTTCTATATGGATGTATGATGTGTATGATTTTTTTTATATAACTGTTCTTTACAGGTGTATGAAATATTTGATATGCATGTTCTATACAGATCTATGGTGTGTATGAGTATATATGAAATGTTTGAAATAAATACGTCATAAATTAGCATGCTCTGTTATGATCATGATAGTACACACAATCAGTAAGTCAGATTAATATTCTCTACAGACCCAATACTTAGAAAACTGGGTGTATGAAATGTGTATGGTTAACATGAAATGAGTATGGTTAACATGAAATGTGTATGATTAACATGAAATGAGTATGGTTAACATGAAATGAGTATGGTTAACATGAAATGTGTATGGTTAACATGAAATGAATATGGTTAACATGAAATGTGTATGGAATGTTTAGGATGAGTGTACTGTGAAGTATGTTATAGTCTCCCAAACATTGTCATGTGTATGTGCTTTGAAAAACTGAATAAAAAATATAAATTAAAAAAAAAAAAAAAAAAAAAACCTAAGAGAGCTGGCTAGGATATCAGAAAATTGAAAAATATTTGCAGCATTTGTATGATGGGAATACTTAAGGAATGATTTTTATTTTTTCAACATTTATGAGGTCATAACAACAATGGGTTTATGGACATATTGAATGAATCGCGTTAGCGATTCATGTAAAATATGTCCAAAAACCCATTGTTGTTATGACCTCATAAATGTTGAAAAAATAAATATCATTCCTTATATTTACATTGACGAATCCTTTCAGTGGATCGATATAACAACGAATAAAACAAATAAACAGGGTTTGTTCCTGCTTATACACGGGTGCAACGCAGTGGCGAGAACAGTGTTTTTTCGCGGGGAAATGTGACACTATCGTGAGAGATCTTAGCAACCGTCAACAACAATAACACAACAAAATGTAGTTCCATATTCAATGTTTATTTGTAGCACAGGACACGTGAATACGTGGATATTTCACAAAGCACAGTTCAATAATATTTTAAGATGTAAGAATTAAGCATCTAGTTCGGTCGTTCCGAGTGAGTAGTTTTTGTAGTGTATTACTACGCAGTGTGATCAGGTTACTATCAGTTCCCACGTGCTGAGATTCTATGAACACCTGTGTTATGCATTTATGAATGTAATTTTTGTCAATGGGTCTAAGCATACAGAATGTAAATATTTGATAATAATTCCTTTTATGTTATATTCAGGGGAGTGATACAGGCTCTTGTTGTTTTTGTTTGAAAAGTTCCATGAATAAATGTGAAGCAAATTAATGTGTTTTCTTTACTTTGTTTTCAAATACTTTTCAGAAGCAGTATAATGCTTATGGAAATACTACTTACAGATTGTATGCATTAGATAATAGGTTTTAGTGCCATGTAAATTGTCTGTGTGTTAAACCTATTCCAACACATAGCATGATAGTCCATGTAACTGTATGCTTTAAACATACACAATGAAAACAACAGAGAAGAGATGTTATAAGGTTAAAAGTGTTATAACAACAAAACAAATCTGGTGAAGGACATAATCTTTAATCATCAAGCTGTCTTCACAAGAGGGGGATATATATATTATACATGATATACAAGTGTATTTAGACCTCTATATTAGTGGTCCAGTTCCTTTCTGACAATTCGTTGTTGTTCCAGTTTTAAAGTCCTGCAACAGCTCTGATGTGGAGACGGGTGCCTGGGAGACACACTGCCGAAAAAAGGGAGGGGGGGGGGGGGGGGGGCTCCACATTAGTCGCCTCTTATGGCATTCAGTGGGATGTCGCCTCTTACCCCGAACATACACAGGATTTTTCTGGTAATCTGTAAAAAAAAATCATCAATCACAAGAGCGAATTGGCCTTACTAAATATACTAAGATAGAATCACCCGATCCATTCAATATGATGTACGTTAGTCAAAGTTTTGACGTATCGGGAGAGAAAACGTGAATTATTGAAGAGATTGATAAATCTGAATTTCTGTACTCGAAAACTAGAGCAAAAACATAACTATTCTTTTCTGCATGTAAATCGATTCCTAGCATCATTGTGATATAGGACCTTGTTAGAGGACTATGATGCTGATAAAGGTGTATGAACAAGCTTAAGTGTGCCATCGACACTTACGTCGTAAGGAACTGCAAATACAAGTAATCCTCAATATGCCTCTCCCGGTTAGATAGCTCCTCGGTACACTTGCTCGCAGACATTTGCCGTCTATATCGTAAGGCTAACAAAGTCCCCCTCTATGCAACATCAAACGGAGTCCGAATTTACGAGGTCTCACTGTACGCAAAAACAATTCATCCGGATAAATGGTTTCATTGTGCGCACAAGTTAAAATGTCCAGATTTTCGAGGTTCACTGTAAACGGAATCAACGTGTCCGGACTAACGTGCTTCACTGTAAACGGAATTAATGTGTCCGGACTAACGAGCTTCACTGTGGATGGAATTAACGTGTCCGGATTAACGTGCTTCACTGTGGACGGAACTAACATGTCCGGACTAACGTGCTTCACTATGGACGGAATTAACGTGTCCGAACTAACAATTCCATCGTATTTAAAAAGAATAGAAAATAGAAATATAGTTTATCTCCCATGATTTGTCGAAAACGAATGCATGATCAGAATGTGCTAGTATTAATGCACTGAAAAATATCTACAGTTAACAATTGGACTTAAATTGTAGAATATTCTTCCAAATGGAGATCAGCCAATCATTACAAGTTAATTAAAAGCCGTATAATTTAACTCAGTACATTAATATAATATAAAATCCTTTGAATTATACGATAATACCTTCATTTGTCCCTAATGCATTGCCTTTCATTACAGACAAGGGGTTATGGCCTACTTATATAGAAAATCAATAACTTACTTTGACTACCGTTACTGTTCAACTTGTTCTCATTGTTTTTAAAATCATGGTAACATGAAATTTTATCCGGATTTTTATCAATAAGAATAGACTGTCGAATTAACATGTCTAATCAAACTATCATGTGTTATCCGACACACTGTGGAAAATATCGATAAGATTAATCTCTCTTATCTGACACCCTGTGAGACGACTTATTGTTCAGGCTAACTTGTCTAATCTGACCCGCTAAACGGTTAGAATACATTTCTTTATTACAAACCCCGTCGGATGCAACATTGAACAGAATATGCATGTTTTATTTGTCAGTTTTAATAAGAAATGGGATTTCAGCCTTGTGTCAGATAAGGCAGTTGTCGGATTCCTGTGAAGACAATTTAGGCAGGTTTTACTAAATTTAATTTTAACGTATTTTCCCCATTAAATGTACATTTCCAGGCCTAAATGGACCTTGGACTTTTTACTGAATTTAATCTTAACTTATTTTCCCCATTAAAAGTACATTTCCTGGCCTGAACTGATGGACCCTTGACTTTGTTTAAATCCCTAAAGTGGTAATGCCACACCTAAAAATACTCGACTTTGATTGTTGTGTATTTAGAGCTTTATGCTTTCCATTCATTGGGAAAATGTCCGGATCAACAGAAAATAATGAAAGTACACGCGACCCCTCTTTTGGCGGGACACAACGGCCAGCCGTAAAAGTAATAATGACAACTCCCCTAGGAGGCTACGACACTGAAGCACTCTCATCTCATCAATCAACCAACTTATAGTCTGGTTTGTCTGTAGATAAACGGTGGTGTCTCTCAGTTGTTAGGCTACAGAAGTAACTGCCGCTCATTTGTAATTAAGATACGTTCTACGAAAAAATCGATAAAACCAGTGAACCTTTGCGAACACATGTAATGAATTAAATATGTAAATATATTGAGTTATAAATGATCGTGTCTAATGTTTCCAATCAATTTCATTCTTTTCATGTTCATCGTTTGTAAATAATTGTGGAGCAAACTCACTCAACCAGACCGGAAGTTGGCGCTATCTATGACGTCACAGAAAGCGCGCTTAGTTACCACCCGATCCAACTGCTAGGGACATGCTGACAAGATGTTGTGTTTAGATCTCCCGCTAAATTAGCCACATTCTGAATTTAATAATGACGAACACACACAAGGCAAGAGTTAATGCTCCGATTATTGAAGACAGGCAATGGGATGCGTCCCCGAAGTCTCAAAATGCTGAGAAAACGAAGAAAATACGTAAGTAAAAACTAGATTTTTTAGTTTAACTTCAACCTATAAGTTTAGATTAACGTGTATTTCAAATACACATAGCTAGGTTAATTATAATGAGCAGCTTTATCATTACTGTATTATGTCCTCGTGTCGCTCTGAAGGAATCCAAGCTATAGGTTAATGAAAGTGGTAATAAATATTTATATCAAATTAATGAGGTACCAGCACACAGTGCATTGGGACGTAAAGCTATAGCTGACATGGACTATTAAATATTGATGTCATTATTCGGATGACTAAGATCGAACTAGGGCATAATATCAAGGTACACCTAAGCTATATAAAAACACTGCCAGTTAAAATTGTATTTCTTTTCTTTTTATGAATTTGTACAAAAACTGAAAACTGAAACGAGCTATATAGACAGAATCTTATTAATTGAAACTTGCAGGTCAAAGCCATAATTGAAAACAAATTTTTTTTGAATTATTGGTCATAAAATTTGAAAACATAAGTATGCTTATCATATCAAACCGCCGAGTTGCCTTATGTAGACTTTCGTCAGGCCTGTCCCATAAAAGGTTGTAAATTACTGATAGTTAGATTAATAAGTTAAACCTCAGTACAGATGATTTACAGCACAGATCTGTAAACAAGTGTATGTACGTAAATGACAATTTTATTAAGTTCGAAATGACCCCGTTAGTACATCAAGTATTTTTGATTACGTCGGTCAGATTGAAAAAAAGCAAGATCTGAATATATACCGTAAATATATCGATAAAAAGGACTACTTACGCTGAACAGTCCGAATGCCATCTTTTTCTGCTGACCTATTTCTGGAATGTTTGAGGGCAGATTGTTGGAGAAATATTCAAAAATTCGGAAATGCACATCTTCTGGCCACTTCCTCATATAGCATTGGCGCTAAATATCAATACAATATTGGCGCCTTGATGACAACGTCGACACTCTGTTAACAGCAATGGGCTCAATACTTGTATTTCCTAACGCTGACTCAATATTGGCGTTCTGTTGAAACAAATATCAACGCTTTGCTGAGAAAATATTGGCGGCCTTTTGCATTAACCTCAACTCAATATTAACTTTAACCTGACAAAACATCGCTCCGTTAACATGTAGTTCTCAGGTAGACAACATTGGGTCTCTGTTGACACATATTGACATTTTGCTGACAGTTCTCAGGTAGACAACATTGGGTCTCTGTTGACACATATTGACATTTTG